CAGGCTGGACCTGGGTCAGTGTGAGCCCTGGGGATGAGCCCTGAGGTCATCATTCCCGGGTTCCGTTTTCTCTCTCTCTTTCTTCTTTTAAAGATGTATTTATTTTTATTGAAAAGTCAGATTTACAGAAAGAAGAAGAGACAAAGATCTTCCATCCACTGGTTCATTCCTCAAGTGGCCACAACGGCCAGAGCTGAGCCTGTTCAAAGCCAGGAGCCACGAACTTCTTCTGGGTCTCCCACGCAGGTGCAGGGTCCCAAGGCCCTGGGCCGTCCTCTGGTCCACTTCCCAGACCACAGCTGGATAGGAAGTGGAGCAGTTGGGACATGAACCAGCATCCACGTGGGATCCCAGCGCGTGCAAGGAAAGGACTTTAGCTTCTAGGTTACTGCACTGGGCCCCCTGATTCTGTTTCTAAGGATGGCATTGCTCCTGCCTGTTGAAACAGCAGGGACAGGAGACTGCAAGCTAGCAGGGGTCCATTTGTTTATTCACAGAGGATCTGGCAAGTCAGCAACATTCTTGGGTCCTGGGAGGGATTTGGAGCACTCAGTTTTCAGGATACATGATTCTCTGATGCGCTTTCTCATAGCATGAGCAACACTTAGCCAAATGGCCCCGACTTGTTCCTGATGCAGACCCAACCTCAGGATTCAGACTGCCGGAGCTTGAACCCCCAAGAAGTCCATAGAGGCTGGAGCAGGCTGGGGATGGTCTTGCGACAGAGTGAACCCTTTCTCTCTCCCTACACCCTCCCTGCTTTTCTTTCCTTAGGGGGCAGTATCCTGCAATGTTTATTAGCTGCCATGTTGGTTTCTATACCCCATTGCCATGTAGCCGCATAATGAACCACTTGAACCACTTTCCCAGGGAGGGGCATGTCCCATGGCTGCAATGCCATCTTCCAGAGAATTCACCATGTCTGTCATAATGGCTCCACCAAGACTGCCAAGGGCTGCCAGCCCTCCTCTAACAGGAGGACCTCAGGGCCAGCCAGATCTCCAGCCTCCCTAAGGTCAGGCAAGGGCAGAATGGCATCCAGCCACTACCTAAGGCTCCAAAACATGGTGGGCAGCAACCGGGAAAAGCCAATGGGAGACCTGACTGCTCAGTGCCCCCCTCAAATCTCCTGGGCTGCACAGCTCTCACTTGCAGACCCTGGCAGATGTGTGGGGTGTGGGGGTCCTCAGACCCTGCAGGGTTCTTGGGTGACCAAGTAGAGGGCAGTGAAGTGCCATGGTCTCTTGTGCCTGCAGACAGGGTGTCCCGTGGAGTACTGGTGGGTAGTTTTTGTCTGTTGGCATGCCAGTGAGGTGCCTAGGGTTCACAGGCAGCACCCAGAGACACACCACTGTAACCCCAGCAGGTGTCGGCTGAAAATTCTTCAGCCAAGAGCCTTGCCATAACCATGTCAGATTAAAAGATTAACTTGCAAGTTTTTAATGCCATTTTCCATGCTTCTTCCTGAGTAGTGGTCATTGCGTGCAGTTGGGGATGCTTCAGCTGCCGGGCTGGGTGCTGGCACTCTTCAGAGCCCATGGCTGCCAGCTCTCTTTCCCTTGCTTCTGGGTCATGCGGGCCTGGCTGAGTGGTGGCAACCTCTTAACAGAGGGGCTGTCATTGCACCACGCTGCTGGGTAAAACATTTACTGCCACATACCCCACACAGCCACCTGGCAGTGTGCACACACCCAGCACCATGTCCACACACATGGGAAAACAGGATACACACCTGTGGGGCTCTGGCTTCTCCTTGCACCCCACTTCCGGAGTCTCCCATGGTTTTGGCTCTCCTCCACCCTAACTCTGGAGTCATGTACCCATCCGCTCTCTCCTCCACTCCAGTTTTGTGTAGCTCTCTTGAAATGTAACACTTCCATCTGCCCGCCTCTTAACACTTTGTGTTCAATTACTCAAACTCTTTCTGATGGGTTAGGGAGCACCCACCAAAGATACCACAGGCATGCAATGAAATGGCCCAGTAATAGGAAAGCAAACAAACTGGGTGGACCAGTGCAGGATCAGTGCAGGACCAGTGCAGCACACACCATCTGTTCCCAGCAGAGCTGGCAGATTACGGAGTGCCACTTTGGTTATCACGAAAGTTTTCACTGATGACAAGTCTTACATTCCAAATGTCAAATGGAACATACTCTGGCCTGGCAGCCTCTGCACCAGGTGCCCTTCCTGTTACCCCAGTGGGCTGCTGCAAGCGTGGCTGTGAGAGGGTTGCCAAGAGGTCACAGGCCCTGGGTACAATGTGGTCACGATCCCCTTTCCCTGTTGTTTGAATACACCCAGGAGGAGAGCTGGCTTGTCAGGTTGGATCCCCTGGCCATCGGTTCTGTGCTGGGTACAGCTGGGATTCCAAGAATTTCCTTTGTTCAAAGTCCAGCTTGTACTCCTATTTTACCAATGCCCGAAGAACTTGCTGTTGCCGGAGATCAAGTTCCACAGTGTGGCAGTGTTGGGGCGTGAGGTCAGGTGGGAAGTGTTTGGGGTCTGGGGGGGAAATAAGGCCTTCCCCAGAGAAGTGACTTCTGGCTGCCCTGGATTAACTACCACTCCCGGAACAGGCTGTTACAAAGCAAGGTCACCCGTGATGACTTTCCCCCCTCCTCACCTGCCCACTTCCTGCCCTTGGCTCTCGGCAGGCGTGGACACAGCACGTGGCCCTCACCAGCCGCAGCCGTTGGATCCTGGGCTTCCCTGCCTCCACTGCCACGAGCCTGAAGCAGCCTCTGTTCTTTCTGTTGACAGAGTCTTCGGTATTCTGGCAGAGCAAGAGCACAGACTCTTACCTCCCCACAGCAGCTCAGAGTGGGACTGCCTGCCAGGCACTCCGGGCAGTTTGGGCAGCTGTGGAGTGCACCCGATGCCTATGCTGAGCTTGCTCAATGCCTGTGCTTGTTAATACCTTCTTGAGGTGGTAGCTCGGTCTTGAGTTAGTTTCTGAACCTCAAACCTGCATTTGAGTCTTAGGGAATGTTTGCTGTTTCTTAATGATGACAGGAAGTCACACAGCAGAGGCTCAACAGGGGACTCATTTCAATCTATCTTTAGAAATTGTGATATAGTTATATCATCATAGGCATCAATCTAAGCATATCAATGATGTACGAATAAATCTTGCGTCAAATTATCTTGTGTCAAAATGGTATAATCATGAGCTTCATGTCAGCATGAGGACATATCTCCATACACACACACACACACAGTGAAATGTGAATAGCTATGTGTTTGGATATGTGTGTGTACAGAGGAAGGCATCTGACCCAGGGTTCAAATGTGACCCACACTGGAATATGCGGATCTGACACTCGGCTCCAGCTTTGGCCCCAGCCCGGTCTCAGACGCTGTGAGCTCACGTGTATGTGTGTGTTTGTGCGCCTCAAATAAATGAAAAAGATGTTAGAAACATTTCTTTAAAGTCCAAACACTTATCAGGGTAAGCGGCAGTGGACGGAGTGCTTCATTCTATCATGAGTTTTCTGCTCACTCACTGGGAGGTGTATTTAGCAGGGAACAATTTTCTACATGAAGTTGGTATAACTTTCCAAGACAATTTCCGTGTTCTTTAGTCCCTCAGATAAGACATATTTTGTGACATATTTCAAAACACCTTCTTTATTAAACTGGGCAGACATTAAGTTAGCATTTTCATTTGGAATAAATCCCTCAGTATGCACCACCACTTAAAAGACAATCTAAAGTTAGAGCCCTTTGGTACTCCATGCCCCGTTGTAACTCACAGCACTGAAGGCCACAGTGTTCTGTCACATGGGTTCTGAAGTGCAAGGGCACTCTGAGCCCGGGGGCCGGTCTCCAAGTTTGCTTTCATTTTCTCCAAGGCTTTCATGTACTCACCACTTCCTGCCCTGATTCTGTTAGCAATGACCTTGGGTATTTAGACAGCACCATTCAAAATAATCCAAAGGAAGGGACAGCCAGAACTGCTGCCCCTCTGAGGCCTTCTAAGAGAGGCACGCTTTGTACAAGAGGCAAGCCTACCATTCACTGTAAGAGCAGGGTCAAGTCCACAACCAGAGGGAGACCAAGTTAGGCTGGCCTGCCCAGCGATGCGGTGACTCGGTCCAAGGCCTCATCTGTGGGTGCCGCTGGTATCCTCTGGAATGAGCCCACCGTACCCTCCATGGCAGGCAGCTACAGAGACACTCGGGCTCCGTCTCCATGCGCTCATTTTTGAAGGTGGCAGAGGTGCTGGGATATGAGGCAGATATAGGGCCTTCCAGGAGGACCACTCTTGTCTGTGCGGCCACGGAACTGCTTCTGTTTTGTTTCCCACTGAGGGGGGAAGCCAGCAGCACGCATTCTTCTGCAACACCAGAAGCCAGCACGCGAGTAAGGCGTCTCCCCTCAGCAAGTGAAAGCTACTGATGTAAAGACAGTGTAAATTACCTTGAAGCGCCCGTCAGGGACACTCAGCCAGAGAGCTCAGAGGGCCTCCTGCCTTGCATGAAGGCTGCGGGAACCCTTGCTTTGTCTTTGCCTATGTACATATCTACACACGCGCCTCTGTGGGTTCAAGGTGTGCTGCTTAGAGCCGGCCCTGCCTCGCATTTCAGTACGTACAACTCAGCATGCCAGTCTCAAGGCAGGACAGGAAGCGGCCACCGAACAACGGCAGAAGAAGTTATAGCTGGAGATGTGTTTCTTCTAAGTTCAACTCAGAAAAATAATAATAATTAAGAGGGAGGGAAAAAAAAAAACAATAGGGCCCGGCGCTCACCTTTCTGCTCCCTCCACCAATCGCTAGCCTGGGACTCCCTGCAGTCTTAAAGTGCAATTACTGTGGTGAAGTCGCTCAGGCTGGATGGGGTTCAAAGCAGAAACTTCAAACGCGCAGGGAGGGAGGGCGAGGAATGACAGCTCTCCAGTACTCAAGTGCATCAAAAATAATCAAGGTCCTTTGTGTTTATAAGAAAACTGGTGACTTGTAAGGAATCCGGCTTTGCAAAAACAGAACTCTCTAAACACTTCTATCGGAGGATGTCGCAATGTAACAGAGTCAGGAGGCAGGCAAGGGCAGCGAGCAGCAGGGGCCTGGCTTTCCTCCCGGGCGCCTGGCCATACTGGTGGCCTCGACCATCCTCTGTCAGGTCTTCAGCTCTGGGCAAGGATGAGGCACACTGGACCAGGGGCATCTGGTAGGATGTGGCCCTCTTCTCTGGCCGGTCCGGACTGGACCCATCGCTGGGTCTCTGGCCGTTGAACAACAGATAGCGGCCTCTGGCGTCCTGCTCCATTTTGAAGATCTCATACTCTGTGTGAGGTAGCTTGATGCCCAGGGCCACACAACCGTTGGTATGCGTCACGTCCTGCTGGATGCCCACCTGCCAGGAGCCCTCGGCCCCACACTCATTCCCATTGAAGACATTGAGGAGTGAGGCTGTGGCTGCGTCCATGGGGGTGACCTTCATGTGATTCACTGCAGGGGAGAGAGGAGAATCCTGTGACTTCCTGGAGGAGGCAGGCACAAGGCCCACACCACCGGCAGCAAACGCTACACACATCCTCCCTCGACATCAGGCTCTCTTCTCAAAACACAAGCGGACCCACCCCACCCCGACTGCAGGAAGCCAAAAAGCATTCACAGCTGGGAAGCGTTCAACACACTGATGTTAACAGCAATCACACCAAATGCAGTCTGGCCCCCATGTGGGTGAGGTCCCCTTCTGAGGATTCAACCGACAAGTCAGAAAAAGAGAAGAAAAAAAGTCAACATATAAACATCGGGTTTGTCCTGAACACAGGCTTGACTGAGTAAAGGATGCAGTGAGCCCTGATCTACACAGCCTTTCCCTTGAATTGGGTGTTGCAAGCCATCCAGGGGCCATGTGAACCATAAACATGGGGCAGGCATTTGGCCCAGCAGTGCTGGGATGCCTAATGGGTCTGCATCCCAGAGCTACTCTGCATCCCAGCATCCTGCTAACGCATACCTTGGGATGCTACAGGGGTAGCTCAAGCAGTAAGGGCCTGTTATTTAAGAGGGCAACGCAGACGGAGTTACCAAGTCCCAGAGTCAGCCTTGCCCTGCCCTAGCCCCAGCCCCAGCCCCAGCTACCGTGATCATCTAGGGAATCATTCAACAGATGTGAGATCTGTCTCTGTCTCTACCTCTCTGTCCTTTTGCATTTCAAATAAATAAGAGCTTTTCAAAAAGTCTACCGGATGCATGCAAACACAACGCCATGTTATGAAGGGACTTAGATTTGGATTTGCTAAAGGGATCCTGGAAAATCAATTCCCTACAGATGGAGAGACAACACTACCTGCAGCTTCTACATTTGGGCCAGTAAAATCCTCTAAACATCACTATCTTAAAATTCTCCTTGGAGATGTCTCCTGGCTTGAGAAGAATATGACAGAGCCACTGTGGAATAGTGAATTATCTGGCACCCTGACGGTGTATCCACAGGCCACATGTGGGAATCCAAGCTGAGTCAGGCTGCAGCTGCTGGTGCCTGTGGGTGGACCTGAGATGAAGCGCTCCCTCCATACGGGCTGTCTTGGGTGACACTGGTTCTTGTGCAGAGAGAACGGTGTAACCAGAGCCAGACATATGCTTTCATGATGAGCTTTCCAAAGCTTTGGTGCTACATGCATGCCCACAGCAGTGGGCGTTCTCACAAGCTTGACACAGGCCCATAAATCAGGCAGCCGATGTATGTTAGCGCTGCAAATAGGAAAAATGTGAGCCGGCAATGGAAACCCCACAGCCCTGGCTTTGGAGGGGACTCCCAGGAGGCAACATTCCATCACTAACACACTGAGCTTGGGCTGGAGTCAGGTCACAACTGTTCTCCCTTAGTCAAGGTCACTGGAGGCCGGGTGCTCTGAGCAAGCCATCCTGCCTAAAAGTGGGGGACGGGGAGGGTGAGGGGCTGGAGAACTCATCTGTTATAGAAATGCCTCCCATTCACTGGGCTGAACCACAAAATGCTATCCCAGCATCCCGTCATGCCAGGGGCTGATAGCACTTTACAAAGATGAAAATAAGACGAACACCTCACTGCTATAAACAGTGACCTCAAGACCTGCATGGGGGAACCTGGTACAATGGTTCTTCCCTCGCTGCCTGAGTGGGGGGATCAACACTCAACTGGCACCTTTCTCAAGGCAATTCCATCTGTAGACTTGCAACAGCCTGTCACTGCAGGGCAAGTTCAGGGCAGCACACCGCAGCTCTGAGCATCCAAAGGACAAGCCGGGGGCAGGCAGGCAAGTGTGACGGCATCAGACGGCATGTCAGGATCTGCCACACATGGAAGCACGCAGACACGGGATTTTATGCACAGAAACATCCTCCTTGGACCCTGGTCAACCCAGGCATGAGTGTGCAACTGTGTGGACCCCGCTGCAGCCAGGCTTGTGGGCGGAGGTCAAGCTCAAGCACGGGGTCCTGTTCTGAGCAGGCAGTGATGATCCTCCTCCCTCCTCTCCAGCAGCCCAAGCAGATCAGAGGTCCCACATCCCTTGAGCTCTGCCTCAACCATCACGTTGCAGAACTGCTCCTGAGCTATTATGCTAGACTCCTACCTTTGAACACAAACTCGGTGCCTCCCATGACCCTGGAGGAGAGTACTCCACGGCTGTAGCGGCCCCGGGCGTAGATGGTGAAGGTGGGGTGCTTGCAGACGGGGTCTGAGTAGTGGTAGTAGTGGCCCTCCCAGGTGTTGTTGTTGTCGTGGAAGATGAAGTGGCGGGTGAGGAAGAGGACCTCGGGTCGCACCTCGCAACGCTGGCTCACCCACTCCCCGTGCAGGCCGATGGTCAGCTCAGCTTTTGGGGGCAGGATGGGCGGGTGGTGCTCGTCGGAGCGGTAGATGATGCGGCAGGCTATGCAGGCATGGTCGTGGTTCTGCAAACACACAAGCACGATGCCCTCAGATAGCGGCGTGACTCTGCACTTGGGCTGCCTTCCACAAGGGGTGACACGGATGCAGGGACCCGACACCCAGGTCACCTTCACCTAGAACCTGGGTGGCCAGCAGGCAGCTGAGCTGTGTCCCGGTGCACAGACGGGAGGGCAAGAGGTATGCATGTGCGCCATGTCCCCACTACAGGGCACACATGGGTGCTGACAGCACATCCCCACCCGAGAACCGCAGCGGAGACAGAAGCCCTGAATCACTCAGTGGATGTGCTGCCTGCCTGCATTCAGAGAGGAAAAAACCCAGCCACACCTGACACCCCCTGGAATGCATACTTTGAAACATGCATCAAAGAAGGGTTGCCTGGGTTGCTTCAAGGATGAGGAGAACCTGCTGGTGGGAGTGTAAATGGGGAAGCCGACAGAAGGAAATCTTGCAGTTCCTCAAAAACCAGACAAAGCTCGCCCAGCTCGCGTGGCAATTCCGATCATGGCCCTGGTCCCCCAAGGCCTGGGCACAGGGTTTCACACAGGTATTTGCATACCCATGTTTATAACAGCATTATTCACAGTAGACAAAAGGCGGAAGCAACCCGAGTGTCCATGGACAGATGAAAGGGTAAACAAGACATGGTCTGTATATACAATGGAGTCTGAATCAGCCTTAGACAGGAAGGAAACTGACCCACCTTCCAGCATGGATGAACCGCACAGACTCCGTGCTAGACCAAACAGACTAGTCAGAAAAGGCCCCACCACAGGTGACTGCCCTTACACAGGGCACCCAGAGGACTCAAAACCCCAGGGAGGGAAGTGGAGATGGAGAGCGTGAGCGGCTAGCCAGGGCCAGAGGGGAGGGTGAGGGAGGACCAGGAGCTCCATGATGATCAAGTCCTCCTGGGCAGAGGTGGAGGAGCTGCACAGCAACATGGATTGTGTTTCATGTCAGCGAGCTGCACACCTGGTTGTATGCTGGGTGTTCCACCATGACCCACCTGGACACGTTCAAGGGCGAATCCCAAAGGCTGTGCTTGAAGGGTGCTCTCCAGTGAGGGCAGGATCCCTTTCCAAGGACAAGAAAAGCAGGGGCCCCCTGGGAGGCATCCACATGGGGCCATCTACTTGGGAGCCACCAGCGTTCCTGTGTCCCTAGCTCCCAGCAAGTTAATTCATATACCAGAGCAGTGTGTATTTTGGGAGGTGCCCCTGTCTTCAGAACCAGTCCAGGGACAAGGATGCAACAGCAATGCCAGCTCTCTCCAGAGGGTCTTCATGGCTGACAGAGGAAGCCTGGGTCTGAGAGTGGGCAGCACTGGACAGCTGAACACAGCACTGTTACCCTAAGGTCTGACTCCCAGCTTGAAACATCTAAACCCCAGAGCTGCCTTTACGGGGAACATGGAGCTGACTTTCTGCCACCCTCCTCCCATGGGGGCTGACAAGACACTGCCCACTAAAGGCACAGGCTGTGGCTTGACACTCAGGTGGACACTCAGCCCCAGGACCCTGGGATCTCCCACCTAGGATTGGTCTCAGATCTGCAGACATGACCGGCACAGAGTCATGCTGGCCCAGCACGTGTCTGTTCTCCAGCTCCTGACTGCTCAAACTGCGAGTTCACTCTACACCCGGATCTCTACCCGCCTGGCCATGGCTGTCTTTGGATAAGACATTTGGCTTTCTCTGGGGAATGGGGAGGTGGTAGTAGGGTGGGGAGTGGGCTTCCTAGATGCCCTAGGCCAGGGCCTCCACAGAAAACTGCATAGTCAGTGGCAGGTGCTGATCCGAGTGCCAGCTGAGCTCAGGCTTGCCATCTTGGAGAGTATGTTTCCTCGACTTGGGTTGTAGCCAGCAGATGGTGAGCTGCAGTGATGAAGAGAGATGAAGGCCGAGCCCTCCTCAGCTTGGCATGCAGGTGCTTTCTGCCACTCCTGGGGACACAGGAGAAGTGGGCCTGCCCTGTGGTCAGCTCTGGTGAGCACTGGAGAGAGCTGAGCACTTGCACTTAACCCAGGAAGGTCCTGCTTTGACACACAGTGAAGAAAGATGGCTCTGGCCAGCTTGGGCGGGCCAGGGCTAAGCCCCACGGCTTCACACCTCGTGACCTTGGGCATCTTATTAATTTCTTTCCATCACCCACTTCCTCAGTTTGAACAATGGCCATCATTATACTACTTGCGTAACTGCTGTAAGCAAAGGCACAGTAAATGGTTTCCATTTCAATCCCATGGTATAAAGACTAAAGCAATGGCCTTTCTCTTACGGAAAGGGGCCTCTGCCTTTGCATAGTGACTCTGATTTGCGTAGGGCAGGTTGCAAAAGGTGTGTGATGCCTGGGGCACACTCCTGCATGCAATGGGCAACTCCAGAAGTGCCAGGACCATCATCATCAAAACCTACCTGCTGCCCTAACTTCTGGGTCTCACCTGTACACATACAGACTCCACAGCAGCCCACACCCTAGGTTCAAACCGTTTAGATGCCACACACGAGGTGGTGGTGTTCTTGTGCGGAGTTCTGCTGACAAACACGTCTAGGCTGTGTAGGGCCCAGCATCACCCCCCTCCACACTACACTCCCCGCCCCACTTGCCAACCACCAGTTGGTACCACCTGCAGGCGGACACATCCTGCAAACACAGAGCAGCCCCCAGGAGCACATACCTGGTCAAGGTAAGAGGTGTGGAGGCATCTGGGGAGTGAACCAGCATATGGAAGCTCACTCCCTCTCTCTGTACCTTTATCAAATAAATAGGTCAGTCTTGCCAGAGGCAGGACTGTGGAGCCAGGGGTCTCCAAGGCGCCCGGGAGGTGTTACCAATGTGTGTCACTCCCATGAGGAGATCTGCAGAAAGTGATGCTCGCTCACCACCCCACCTGCTCCTGGGAAGGTCCTGAAAGACCTGCCTGGGCTACCCTGTTCACTCTCAGCAGCCCTGATCTCCACTTCCCTCCTGTACCAGGCTCCACAACCAGGTCTGCCCTCTGTCAGCCAGAAACCTACAAACATCAAACTGTGACTACTTTGTTTCTGGTCTTCCTGAGGGGGATCAGCATTGTACACCGCAGTCTGAGCCTTGGCTGCTCTGCTTCTGGTCCAGCTCCTTGCTGATCAAGGCATCTAGCAAAGCAGCACAAGATGGCTGGAGTACTTGGGCTCCTGCCACCAACACATGGCACCCCTGGATGGAGTTTGAAGCTCCATCCCTTCCTTTTTAAGGCCGATCACCTTGCACAGTCCTTGTGTGTGGTATACTGTAATCCATTCTTCGGGCAGTGGACACTTGGCTGGCTTGCTCCTGTCAGCTATCATGCATGGTGCTGCTGGGAACCACACATGTACAGAAATGCCTAACTTCCTGCTTTCCATTCTTTGGGGTATAGAGCCCCAAAGAGAAATAGGTCAGATCCACGGTGACTCTGCAGTTAATTTTTCAAGGAATTGCCATACTCTTCTTTTATAGAGATGTACCACTTTATAGCACCACCAGCGAAGCCCCAGCGTTCCAGGCTTTCTATCCCTTGAGTTGGTATTTTTTATTTCTTTCAGCAAATGCATTCAAACGTGTGACTCAATACTTCCATGTGATTTGTATTCACATCTCCCCGATGATGAGTGGGATGAGTGCCCTTTCATGGACACACTGGCCAACTGTGTATCTTTACAGAAATGTCTGTTCAAGCCCTTCAGCTTTCTTCTTTTTTTTTTAATTTGGCTCTTGACCAGTTAGTTACTTGTTTTAAACTTTTTAGAAAACTTGTTGAAGGGGCAGAGAAACCAGAGACAGCTCAAGTCTTTAGCCCATTCCTCAAATGCCTGCAGTGTTTGGTACCAGACCAAGCTGGGAGCTAGGGATTCCATCTAGGTTTCCCACATGGGTGTCAAGAACCCAACTAATTGAGCTAAGCTTAGGGATCAGTTAAGGGTTAGGGTTAGATTTATGGCAAGGATTAGAGTTGGGTAAGGTTTAGAATTAGAGTAGGAGTTAGGTTTTGGGTTTGGGTTGTGGTTACAATAGGGTTTGGATTAGTGTCACAACCAGCATTAGGTTTAAAAGTAGAGTTAAGGCTTGGATTAGGTTTAGGGTTAGAGCTAGGGTTAGGGTTGAGGTCAGGGCTAATTTTGGTCTAGGGTTACAGCCAGGTTTAGGGTTAGAGATACTGTTAGTTTTCAAGCTAGGTTACTTAAGATTAGGTTTAGGAGCAAGGCTAGCATTCCAGACCAACATCAGAGCAAGGGTTCGGACCATTGTTGCTGCCTCACAGGTCTGTACCAGCAGGAATCTGGAATCAGGAGCTAGATCCAGGGATCAAACTCCGGCCTTCCGGTGTGGGACATGGACATCCTATGGGCATTTTAACTCCCGGGCCAAACACTCCCCCAAACTAACTGAAACTTCTCTTTAGCTACTATGAAGACATCAGAGCTGCTCCTTGAAAAGTGGTTTTCCTGGCCTCCTTGTGGACCCTGTTAACAGGGACCAGTGTCATACAGGGGGCCTTCTGTTGTTCCACGGGAAGGCTTGAAGATCATTTGTGGCCTAATTTCACAATCTTGGCTTACGTGAAAATTCAATAGCTCTACAGAAAGGTCTAGAAGGACTAAAACCATCAAGCCCATGCAAGAGGTCTTCCAAAAATGCACAGAAAATGCAGATTATGATAAACATTAAGAAGGAACCTCAAAATCCTCTGCATCAAAATAAGCTCATCTGTGAATCCCATACTGTCCATGAACTTCTCCAAGGGTCCAGCTATATTTCTTTGACTCTGTGATGACTTTTGAATGACACGCTTTTCCAGAAGCGTAGGCTGCATGTGGAGGTTTTTACACACAAACAGTGATGTGTACCATGAGAAATAATTTGCCCACGAAGTGACTTGTTTGCTGTGTTTCTGAGCCACATTCTGGTGCAGGAGTCTCATTTGAGGATCATCCTTTCCCAGGCTCACCGACTTGGCTCCTGCCCCTCACCACTTCCCCAAACC